TTAGGGCCACCCAAAAACCCTTTGGTAGCAGCTGACATCATGAGTTTCTCACCTGGCTGGGATTGCCAAAATCTGGGTCAGAAATCCCAACAAAAGATGGTATTTGTTCATGATCTACTGCTTGATTATTTCACTCTGTGTGGACAAACCCTAGTGGCAGATCTCTAATTGGATTTTCACACTTGCCCTTGACTCATTGGAGTAGATTGCTGCTTCCTCTTAGTGCCATCATTACCACATTTCCATGCCTTAAACCAGAACAAGGCTTGGACACGTGGCCCTGTGGCTGCTGCTGCCCAGGGATGCTCTGGGAGAAGGGGGAAGGTACCTGCTGTGCTGAGCACAGAGGTTCTGAGGGTTTAATCACAGAAATGTTTGCTCAGTGGCACTCATGATGGGCTTTTTGCTTGGAACTTTGAGCAAACACAGCCTTTGTTTGCATTTTTCCGTGGGATTTGTTTACTGTTCATTTGTGCTGCACATGCTGTGAGAAATTAAGCCACTATGCCCATATTTTTTTTCTTTCTCCTGCTTTCATTCCTTCCCCCCCCCCCCCCCCCCCCCCCCCCTAAAAATCCTTACAATTCCTTTCATTATTTGGTGTTAACAGGACAAAAGAAATAAATACTTGAAAGAAGATACAAGCTGTGTTTCTGTTTGACTTTGGAGCTGCTGTGGTAACCGAATACCAGTCTGCAAGGTCAGGAAAAGAAAGGAAGAAATAAGAAAACTGCCCAAAAGCTCAGACCATGGGGCTCATTGGCTTTTGCCCAGCAATTTCCAGCCACATGCCCCGAGAGCTGAGCAGTCACTCTGTAAATCTCGGAGTGTTTCATATAGTTTCCTTGTCATGTGGCCATTAAGTTTTATAACCTTTATATTTCAAGGGAAACAATGAACGTGAATTCCTTGGAAATGCCCTAATAGATCCCACATGTGAGCCACGGCTCGTGCTTTGGTTGCTCTGCAGGTTCTGGACCCTCCTGGGGATGCTTTTGGTGCTGGCTCGGAGCCCTGGATGTGCCTGGCCAAGGGACCCAACTCCTGTTTGGTGCTGAGGTCACTGTTCAGCCACTGTCTGTCTGTGTGTCTGTCTGTGTGTCTGTGTGTCTGTCTGAGCCCCTGGGGCTGCTCAGGGCCTGCAGGACATCCCACCCTGAGGACAAGGAAGCACCTCAGGGTCATAAATGGGCACAGAAGGCAAGGGAGAAGGAAAGGGAAAGGGAAAAAGGGAGAAAGGGAAAGGGAAAGGGAAAGGGAAAGGGAAAGGGAAAAAGGGAAAAAGGGAAAAAGGGAAAAAGGGAAAAAGGGAAAAAGGGAAAGGATCACCAGCCCTGGATCCAGGATTGATCCAGTACTGGCATGTCATTCTTGGTTTCAGCATGGATCCAGCTGCTTCAGTCCAGCTGATGGGATGTCCAGGATCCTGGGGACACCACCCAGGTTTCGGGGGTTCCCCTTTTATGGACAGGGTTTCCCATTGTCAGGATTGTTTCCTCACTTTCTATGCAGATCAGGTGTCACAGATGTTCTTTCAGACCTTTCTGAAAATGGCTCAGTGGTTTTGTGGGTCTCTGGTGATCTTGACCCCCCCTTACAGTCCCTGCCCACTCCCCAAGCTCATTCCCGTGCTCCTGCTGTGCTTATCTCCAGGAGCTTGAACAAGGATGTTTGTCCCAGGAAAGTGCTGCCCTACCTCCACATGGGCCCTTCTCCAGCCACATCTTGTTCTTTCTCAGGCATGTTATCAACAACAGTCCTTGTTTGTGATCAACAACAATCCCTGCCTTGCAACAACAGCCCTTGGCTGGCTGCACAGCCACCCTGCTCTCAGGGTTTGACACACAGACATTTATCCTGGGTTCTGCAGCCCAGGGCTGGGGTGGGGCTCCAGTGGAACCTTTCAGAGCTGTGGGAAGGGCCGGGTCATGGAGAAACCCCAGAACCCCAAGGGATCCTCACCAGCTCATCAAAGCTCTCGGGGTCATGGGTTTCCCTGTCTTTGGCTTTAATTTAGAATCTCAGACTGTTCTGGATTGGAAGGGATTCCCAAGGGGGTCCTCCACTGAGCCCAACTCCTGAATGGCCTCTACAGGGACGGAAGCCACAGTTTGGTGTTATCAGCACCAGCTGGGCTGATCTCACCAATTCCTTTGTTCTGAGCATGGTTCCTGGATCTCTTGGTGTTGGCTCTGACCCTGAGCTGAGCCTGGTCTGACTCTGGGGTTGTGTCTGAGGGTCTGCCTGCAGTCATGGGGGGCAGAACTCAGCACCTCGGGAGTCTGAGAGGCTCAGGAGCTGAGGAACCTGCCCAAGAGGCTGAAAGGGTGACGTTCCAATTGCTGCCCTCTCACATTTTTATGATGTGATATGGTTTTTTGGGAGCAGGGGATGGAGGTTTTGGGGTTTGCATGTTTGTTGTGTTTTTTTTTTTTTTGTTTTGTTTTCTCCCACAAACAGAAGCCTCTAAGTTGGATACAGAGGATGGACAAGAGGCTACAGCTTTGAAGATTGACCTGTTAATTGCCCTCCTGTGTTTTTAAAGTGAAAGTTGTGTCCCTCCAGGTTTTCACAAGCTCTTTCCTGTTATGAACAAACTTTGGGGTTTTGGGCTGAATTATTAAAATGGCTGCAGCAACTATGTGCAGTCCTTTTTTAAAATTAGATTATTCTTAAGCTGCACCTGTAAACAATTTGAGCTTCATTGTATTCAGCTTGTCTTTAATTATGCTGGTATGGCATCTTTTGAAGTGTTTTTGCTTTTCTGTGCCGTGGCTGGAAGGAGCAAGGAAGGATCTGTGGCGCTGAGCTCTGTGATTGACTTTCACCTGTTGTAACAATCCTGTTCCTTTTTATCCACCCATGGCTAATTCCAGCAGTTTTGAAGAGGCATTAAAATCCATAACAAAGGTTAAAGTCATAACAAATGATTCATTGTATGGAAATTATACGTTGTTAGTTATTTTATAGATTAATTATGTTGAGGGAGTGGTGAGAACCTGTGCTGGCCCTGCTGTTGAGGAATACAGGTACCAGGGGAGTGATGCCATGTGGGCTGAGGAGTTTTTGTGTATCTTCAGTTCACTTATGTAGTAGTTTGAAGTTTTATGTCTTCCTGACAACCTTATTTGGCCCTTCTCAGCAACTTTCATGCCTTGAAAACATGGAGCATTGGATGGGGAGGGTGCTGCTGGATCATACGCTTTGGTAACAGCCTGGGGTTTTTTATTTCAAAGTACTCTCTGTGAACTCTCTGTATTTTGCTACTTTGGTGTGGGAGTGGTGAAGTTTGGAATGGATGGTGTCACTAAATTAGTGACCACATCAGAGCTAGGCCAGTCTTCACTGCTTCCAGAGAAACGAAGCCATGTGTCAAGGCGAGGTTGTCTGCTGACCTAGAGAAACAAGTTTAATATTGTCCTTAGACCACAAGGAATTTCCACTTATTGTAAAGCTGTCAGACTGTTCCTGCCCTCCCTGTCAGTGGGACAGGAACTTTGTGTGTTCAGACACACTGAAATGGAGTTTTGGGCACTCTGATGATACAGACTGTAAAAATAATAATAATAATAATAATAAGTTGTTTGTAAGAGTCTCTCCTGGACCTGAGGCAGTTCAGGTGTATCACAGCTCTGAGGTTCTTTTGTCGGGTCAAAAATGATGAAATTAAGATTTACAGGAAACGTTTGTTCTGCTGCATTCACAGACTCTTAGGCACATCCCAAGTCACCCTCTCGGGGAGGCAGGGAGGTGAGAGCAGGGTGCCAGCAGGTGGGAATGGAGGTGTGGATTTTGGGGAGCCTGAGGTTAAACACCAAAGGGAGCAGCAGCTGCTCAGTGGAGCGGGCACAGCTCAGCAGGTTGGGTTTGTGCCTTGCTCTGAAGTTGTGCCCAGTTCATTGAGAAGCCCGTCACATACACTTTTTGTGCTGCCCTGAGGAGTGCTGGGAGCAGCCCTGAGCACAGCAGGAAAGCCAGGAGAGGCTGCCAGGAGAGCAGGCTCGGGGCAGGCTCTGCAGCACTTGCATCACCAGCCGGGCTCTGACGTGTGCAGCTGGAGGCTGCTCACAGAGCAGTGCCTGACCCCAGGGGCAATGCCAGGGCTTCTTGGCACCCATTCTTTGGGCACAGGGGCAGGGTGGGTGGCAAGCTGTAGATTACCAGGAAAGGGAAAGCGCACAGCAGCTTCTGAACAAGCCTTGGCTGCATTCTGCAGAGTGAGCAGCTTATGGATGCACAAAGATCTGTGGATCGGGGAATCCTGTTCTCCAGAGAGCTGCACTAGCATGTCTTGGTGCTCTCCAGCCTTTCCTCCACTGACTTTATGGGATTTGGGGTGAGAAAAGCCCTTTAGGGTCTCCCTGCTCATGTTCTGTGTCACCGCAGCTACTGCTCTCTGCTTCGCAAAATTTGACTTCGTCTCTCAGGTTCCTTTGGAGGATCTTGAGGTGCAGAAACGAGGTGATGGGTAACACAGCTGGCATCCTGGGGGCTGTGGGCGTGGGAGTTGTGTGCCAGGCCCCTGGCAGGGCTGCTGGGGGTCAGGGAAGCATCAGCAGCTCCTTTAGGAAGTGCTGCATCCTCGGGGGAGCTGCAGGGGAGGTGGAGGTGCCAGCCAGCCTTGGGAAGGCCGATGAGCTGGAGCACTGTGACAGGCAGTGTTGCTGACTGTGGGGCTTTTGTGTTTTGCTCTTGTCGAAGTTCAGAGCATAAATAATGATTTTCTGCGCCGTGCTCAGGCTCGGCTGTGTGTCCCAGCCCCCCTCCCCTCGGCAGGGTCAGGGAGAAGGGAATTGCAGGCGGTGTCTTTGGCTGACATGAACCCGCTGGGGAGGGATGAGAGGAAGGGGGTCTTGGGGGCTGGGTTCAGAGCAAGGTTAGCCAAATATCGGATAAATTAGGCAAGAGAAACAGACAGCTCAGCTTGCAGTGAACTTTTCACCCAGCTAACCTGTTCCTCACCCTGCCTTGCACAGGTGGAGTGCCACTGGAGCACAGCCCCTGCTCTCCCTGCCTCCCTTCTTGCTGGGGTGAGGCATGGCCAAGGGGAGAGCTGGAACTGCTTTGAATCCAAGAAATATCACAGCTCTGATTTCTGTTACAAGAACCCTGAAGTTAACACCACTAATTGCTGCAGGGTGAATGAGGACTGATGATTACTGGTCACAGAGGACTGGGAAGAAATTCCATACTGGAGAGGGCAAGGAACAAATGTGAGTGTCTAAACAGCGATGATTAGAGATTCTTTGTGGGAAAACACAAGACTGGTGGGAATTCTGGTGTTTATTTCTCTGACTTTTCTTCTGCATTTGCAGTGCGAGTAAATACAAATAATTGCTGACAGATGTTGTAAAAACACAGCATTATGCTAACCAGTAAGGTGAATTTTTTTAGGTTAATAATAGATCCTGATAACTCAACGTGGTGTACTTGGCTCAAACTCACATTACCTTGTTGAAATGGGCTGTGCTCCAGATGCATGTGTGGAACCAAGTGCTGGACTTCTTCTCTTGACCCTTCCCTAAATCCCCACGGGCTCCACTCCCTCCTCCCCAGAAAGCTCCAGGCAAATTAAAGTTCCTGGGGTTTAAGTAGTTGCTTCATCACAATCAGTGCGTAGTGATGAGGCCTGACTTTTTTTTTTTTTTTTTTTTAAACCATATCTCTGGTTTGTCAGGTCTGTTGGAGAGCAGTACTTGTATTGCTTCAATCTTGGGTTGGAAACCACCGTGTTGAAATAGCAACTCTAAGATTCTCTAATCTTCCTTTTCCCTTTCATCATAGGTAAGGAAGGTCTGAAACCAATAGCAGCTCTCTAATGCACAGTATTTCCAGCAGCCAAGTCCTATATTTTTCTCTGTGTGTGCCTAAATTCCATAAAAGTCCAAAAAATTTAATTAAAAAGTGTTGTAGAACCCTCTGAAGAAACTCTTTCTGGCAGTGCACTTCTGGATGGTGGGTGCTGGGAGCTCTGTGAAAAGGGAAGAGCAACCCGGAGATAATCCCTGACTTCAGGAAGATAAGATCCTTCCTGGAGCAGTGAATGATTTCAGCTGTGCCTCCTGCTCTGCTCCACACACAGGGATGGTTTGCACCCCATTTTGGATCTGGGAAGTCCTTTGAACTCAATATAAATGTCTGTTGACACCCAGCTCCTCAGCCACTGCCAGCTTTAGTGACTGGCTGCAAAGGAGCACTGTGAGCATTTTGCCCACAGGTGAGAAGCAAACATGGATTGGGTGATGAAGGTGTTTTATGGTGGCAGAAAACGCCAATGGTTCTGCAGTTTGGGAAGGTGTGGAGAAAGGGATAAGGACTGTGGTGTGGTTACTGTTTAGTTCCTGAGCCTGCTGATGCTGCTGGTTGTTGATCCAGGTTTTTTTTTTCCTTCTCCTGCAGTTGTTTAAGAAGGTAAAAGGAATTGAGATGTGCACAAGGCAGCACCACCTCTGCTGCCCCTTGCCCTGCAAGGATGGGAGCTCTTGAGTGGGTTTGATGAGCCCAGAGAACAGATTCTGTTCAAACTCACTCTGTTGTTGGCTTGGTTTGGGCTGTTGTGTTGCTCTGCTTTGGGTTTGCTCCCTCAGGATGGTTCTGGCTGGCTGATTTTACAACCTGCAGCTTCAAATAGAAATTCCACCCTGGGGAGGGGACAGGGCAAGGACAAGGTCAGGGGTCATCAGATAAGTGAGGCTACTCCTTCTCCAGCAGTTCAGGCAGATTCATCAGAGCTCTGAGTGACATCAGAATCTTGCCAAAGACAAATTTGCCTGTCTGATCTGTCTGAGTGTGTATTCCCCACAAACCTTGCTCCCTTTTTGATGTGCTGATGAACTTTCCCAGACCTGTTTGGTCAATCCCACCGTGGCTCCAAACCCCTGTCACAGCAGACTGGTGGCTTCTCCTGTATTTTTTTACTGCCCTTTGAGCGACATCATTTAAAAGATGAGTCTCTGAGATGATTCATACCAAAAGAGATCTAATAATTGTTACCAGTTATTCAGATCAGTGTTACTGATTTCCCACATCCTCCCACTGGTCCCTTGAGCTCCCCCACCCACTCGTTTTCCCTAATATTTCCCAGGCTTTCTGGCTGGAGGCTCAGGATGCCTCTTCTGTGTTAAGGTGTGAGCGTCTGGCTCTCCCCAGAGGAATATTTGGGGTTTGGCTGCAGAAGTTTGGGATCTGCATGGGCAGATCCCAGCTGGAGTGGGGCAGGGAGGTGGAGGGACCCCTGGCAGCTCCAGGGAAGCTTCCCATGGTGTTTGTGGCACATCCCTGAGCCCTGGGCTGTGCTGGCAGCTCTGGGGTGGCCAGGTGAAGCTGGCTGGGTGCTGGCTCTGCAGAGCAAGGGAAACAGCCTTCACCCTTCCTATTTATTAGCACCAGGGATGGGTTTTTGGTCTGACTGACGTTATTGGGGTGTGGGAGAGTCATTAGTTTGAAATTTGTGGTACAAAAATTCTTATACTGGAAGTAAAGAGCCCCTTCTGTTGTGAAGCTCATTTGCTCACTCTTGGTGGGATGGCAAGTACCAAAAATTACAGTGTTCTCCCTAGTATTTGAGGGAAATTCTTTACTTTGCAGACAGTGACAAGGAGAGTGAAGGGATATTGAGGAAACAGGTCACAGAGATAGTGAGCAGAGGACCACTTTGGATGACTAAAAAAATTGGTTCATTTCCTAGACTTTTTTTAAAGGAAAAATAACCCTTTGAGGTTTTCCTATAGAGGAGATATGAGGATATTGAATGTTTAGAATATTAAAGAAAGGTATCTATCATAGAACCCAGGCCTCACACAGGATTCCCAGATATTCTAGTGAATTTCTGGGTTATATTGGTGCAAATAAGCAAGATGATGAGAAGGCCTGTGGCTTGTTGGGCCTGATTGTGCAGCAGTGAAGCTCATCCCCATGGAGTTTTCTTCTGGAG